GGGGGGGGGGGGAACTGGTTAAATATCAAGGACTTTGAGAGTCCTCTGCGAGTAACCACTATTTTCCTCTTACAGCAGAGTATATATGGAATGGCATTGAAGTATTAGAAAATGACAGTTTCATTGAAATTTTTATCCCCCCAAAAAGGGCAATGGAATTATGCATAGAAAAATATACAAGTAAATACTGTAAGCTAATCTAGAACTAAATTTTTGCTTGGAATTTTTCCTGTTTCCTACTTGCAAATTTATAGCACCATCAGAACAAAGCCATAAGGAGAAAATGTTTTTCTCTTGTAGGCTTTGAAGATTTAAGATATTTACTCAAAAAAGATAGTTTTTTGGGGAGATTTGAACAAATTCAAATCAAAGTACTAAAATTGGTACAGCAGTTTTATAAATAATGCTCCCAACCGTAAAGCCTTTCAAACCATGACAATCTAAATTAATTACAATGACTGCAATCATTTTAAAATGTAATTGTTATACAGTCTTGGTCTACCCTTGGCAAAAATAGTTTCTGCACTGGGTGAAACACAGAGGCCACTGAGACAATTTCTACCTAATAGTCACATATCTAGAAATCTATACAAGATTGTTTACAACCTAGTAAAACATAGTCATCCGTTTGTGATTTTTGGTTCCCCACCCCTGCCCTTAATCTGTGAAGTCCTTCATGAGGTTTATATATGAAAATAACCTGTGATCTTAACTGCTTTTACCCTTTAATTTCTTTTTTAAAGTCCCCATGGTGCGGTCTTTCCAAATACTTCCTTCAAGATGAGAAAATAGTCAAGTACCTTTTTTAAAACCTTTCCTCCCTACCATTCCAGCAGCTTTATATATTGTCAAGGCATTGAATAATTTGTCACGAGATATCATTTTATTTAAATATTGAGGATAATATAAAATGATATTACAATGAAAAACATTGGTTTGCTACCTTAATGATAGTGATTATAAATATCATTCCTGAAATATGATCCCTGTTTTTAACAGAAAATCATGTACTAATGCTTCTAGGTGATTCCAAAACTGTCTTAACATTAGATCCTTGCCAAAGGCCCAGGACCTGAATTATACATTCCTACCTTACTGTGCAGAATCTACCACACTATAAAGGGAATTTTTTACTGTAAAATCTGGATCTCAGTCTGTTTTTTATTGAAGAATAATTTTTTTCAAGTGCTACTCTCAGAGTTCTTAAGAGAAAATTAATGGAGAAATGCAACTCAGACGAACCTGAAACCTCCTCAGCAATAGAAGGGAGTCAAAGTCAGTCTTTATATCTTTACAACATTCCAAATGAATCCAACCTCACTGAGCACGGCACTCACTCCATTTCTGGTTTAAATATTTATACAAGTAATGATCAACGCTAACCTGGTGTCTTAAGGGTGATAAACCAGACATTAACTAAATTTTGCTCAGATGCTTTGAACATGAGAGTGTCATTCTTTCCTGGCTAAGAAACAGACGTGTCGTTTTAGTCATTACACGCTGGAAGAAAAGCCCCCCTGAATGGTAGGAATTGGGCTTTGAGACGTCAGTCTAGTTTGCTAGGCGTAGCGGCCCTGGTTTTAGTCGGGGCCGTGAGACAGTGTCTGAGGCGGGCAGGGCCCCGTGAAGCGTGCGGGAGTCGGGGGTCGGAGGCCGGCTCCTCCTGCAGAGCAGCGCGGTGCCCAGACGGCGCGCGACTTACCTGCAACACCTGGGTCAGGTTGTTGAACAGAGCCTGGCCGGCGCTCACTTTGTACTTGACGCCTCTGACTGTGCCATTTTTGCTTAAGATGTTGACCCTCCTTGTGCCAAAGCCCTTCTCGCTGGCGGCCCTCGCTAACACCAGCAAGTTCTCCTGGTCGCGCCCCTGCTCGTCGCCTCCGGACCCCGCGGGGCCGCTG